AAGGACGTGGAGGAGCGCAGCGAATGGGTCTCCAAGTTCCGTGAATCCACCATGAGCCTGGGCCAGGTGATCAGCGAAATCTACACCTCCAGGGATGCGCACTGGTCAGCCCCCGGGCCGGCTACTCCGGAGAAGAAGACCACTGCCCCCACGGCAGCTTCGACTGCGAGTCCATCCAAAGTCCAGCCCAGTACTTCGCCTTTGAAGTTGGGGAAACCGATCAATGGCAAACAGGTGGCGACGGCCATGAAGGACGGCACCAAACTTTGCCCCCAGTTTCAACGTGGAGGGTGCAAAGCCAAGCCATGCCCCCAAGGAGCCCACCGTTGCGCAGCGGTTATCAGGAAAGACCGAGTGTGTGGAGCTTTCAACCATGGGGCGGCCAATTGCACTGGCAAGCGTTGACACACCCCAGAAGAGGAGGCGGCTGCCTCTTTTGGGTCAGACGGCATAGAGCCGCAGGAGGGGCGACCTCTGATGGCGGATCTTATGGCGGGTCCCAATGCCCCTCTTACCAAAGCCTTTATCAGCTGTGGTTGGAGCTGCCTGACAGTAGACTGGTTGCTGGACGAGAGCCATGACCTCTCGGACGAGCGCAGGCAGCGATCTTTGAGCAAGCAACTTGAAGAGGTGATCTTCATTGCAGCGGCCATCGATTGCTCCACCAAGAGCCGAGCCAGAGAGATTCCTCGGAAGTTCGAAGATGGCAGGCCAGCACCTGGCCCTCTCCGTTCTGAAGTCTACCCAGATGGCCTGCCTCATTTGACTGGCAGAGATGCCAAAAGGGTTGACATGGACAACAAGGCATGCAACTACGTCTTGGGAGAGATCCAGAAGCTGAGAGACAGAGGTGGAGGCAGTGTACGAGAGAATCCTGCCCGTTCTTTGCACTGGTGGACTTCAGCAGAGGCGACCATGTGGGAGTCTGGACAATGGGTTGACACATCGTACGCAGCATGCACCTTAGGTGGCGCACGTTGCAAGCATCAGGTGTTGCGGCACAATGTGGAGGAGATCCAGCGATGGCCCCCAGCCAATTGCCACCACGTGCATGACCCACAAGAATGGACCCCCTACACATCTGAGGGCATCAGAGTTTACCCTTCTAAAGAAGAGGCAGAGTACACGGCAATCCTGGCTTTCTCCATTGCAGTCTCAGCGAGTTGGTGGGCAGCCCGTCGAGGGATGGCCAAGTTGCAAGTTCCTCGCATGCCCACATTTCTGGCTGTGGGGCGACGGGAGCATTGGCTGGACATGGACCCTCGTGCAATGCGAGAGTGGGCCATGGCACCTTTGGCGGTGACACTCGGGCTGACAGAATCCCTGCGAGCCGAACGACCGGGGTTACCAATCAGGAAGCTCGCACAGGACGTCATGATCGAGAAGGACAAGTTGCCGCACCAGACAATCTATGTCGGGCGAGGCAGCTTCCACCATCGGCTGACGACGACCAAGTGGAAATCGCCTCGGACACCAGGCCACAATTGCGAGGCTGGAGAATGGCATGCACGGTACATTGTCCATATCCGCACATCGCCGTTGTGGGACGCCCTGCATGAGCTCAAGGGCATGGCCTTAGCTTGCGACTGTCCCATGGAGCAACTTTGCGAGGCCGATCTTCTCATTGGACTCTACTTCGATGCCATGGCTCCTGGGGGCGACCCAGGCAGCAGAGGCACAGATGGCAAATGGAGCCGGGCAGTTACATTGTTGCAAGGTATTCAAGCGATCCCCAAAGGAGTAGCCCTACCCATGATGAGCCAAGAGGCAGTAGTGCTGGCCTTTCGCAAGCTTTTCCCCGAGCATTGGTTCAGGAGCTATAAGTTTGCGATGGTGGAGGACCTCATCAACAGCCCGCCGTTTTGTTCCTACGCAGAATGGTTGGCAGAGCGTGGTGAGGCTTGGGACGGTCCTTTAGTCCCCCACCTTGCTGCGGGGTCCGTGAGGCAAATGGCCCGAATTGGAGATGGATGCCAAGTCGGTGCAATGACGCATAGAGCAGCACTACCACCACTCCTGGCGTTCAACCTGGAGCCAGATGATCATTTCCAACAAGCCCTCCAACGGGCCCAGCGGCCTTTGCCATATGAAGACCTTCCAGTCTCCGACATGGACTTGGAGTTCGTGGCCGATGCATATGCATCCCCGACCAAATCGCTGAGGCCGTGGAGGCAACAGGCAGTGGGGGCACTGCGCGAGCTGAAGAGACGCTGGGAGGGGGTGACCCTCCACTTGAGAGCGTTTCAAGAAACCGCCGTGCAGCAAGTCACAAAACATCGAGATATGGGGCTCATAGCATTGTTGATGGTGTTGACATCTTGGGCTGACACTAGCTTCCCCTTTGGCTTGATCTGTGGTTTGCCGGCAGTGGGCTACGCGCCACCCTATGGAATTTTTCCCCAGCAGCCGGCTGAGGTGATCAGCATGGCAGATGTTTTGGATGGATGGCAGGAGCACAACCAGCACATCCTGAAACAGCTGCGAGCAGGCAAAGATGACGAGTTTCTCTTGCAACAATCCATGGAGGATGCCAACAACGGTTTTTGCACCGCACCTCTGCGACGAGCCGAGTTTTTGCGGCTTATTGGCAATCGAGCACATCGTCTGATCCCTCGTTGTGTCATCACGCAGAGCTCCGGCAAGCAGAGAGTGATCGACAATGGCGACACTGGAGGACAATCAGCCCTCTCCTCTGATGCCAACAAGCTCACCTTGTGCAGCCCTTTGCGCCCGGCCCAGCACATTCGTTTGGTGATGCACAAATGGACAGCCGAGGACATCGACCACTTCTTCGCCAACGATGCCTGGGAGACAGGCCAAGAAGATCTCCCATCAGCCTACCGGTATTGCCCCATGGCGATGCAGGAAAGCTTAGGCTGCGTGGTGGTGTGGTACCACCATGAATGGCAAACTCCAGCATATCAGGTCTATGCAGGCCTCCTTTTTGGACTTCCGTTAGCGGTCACTTCATTCAACCGCTTTTCCCGGTTGTTGGAAGCTCTAGCCAGGCGTTTTTGCCAAGTTTTGACATCTCTTTACTTCGACGATGCGACCATCACCGACCTACGTTCTTCCAAAGGCTCCGGACAATGGGCCATGAACCAGCTTTGCAAGTTGATCGGCTCCCCCTTTGCTGAGGACAAGAAGCAGTCAATGCAGAGCACAGGCACCTTTTTGGGCCTAACCCATGACCTCGACTGCATCAACCAGACAGGGCATGTCCGGTTTTGGGCCCGTGAACGCCTTCATGATAAAGTTCGTGACCTCCTCACTACGGCCAGGACTACAGGTCACTTCAGCCGTGGCACAGCTGCGAAGTTGTATGGCCTAGCGAATTTCCTGGAGCAGGGTATTTATGGCCGTGTAGGATATGGTGGCCTGATGGCAATCAAAGCCAGACAGGATGAAACCACTACAGCGGTAACCCCTGAGATTGAAACATGCTTCGAGGTGATCGAAGCAGTGATGCGCTTTCAGCCAAAACGGGAGTTTCCCGTCCTTCACCTGGACAACCTACGATTCCTTGCTGCTTCGGACGCTGCGGTGGAAGCTGACAATCCAGGTTCCGGAGGTTTTCACCTCATCTTTTTCCAGCATGACGGATCCCAGATACGTCACAGTTTTGTAGCCAACAATTGTGCAGAGCTTCAGAAATTATGGCAGCCTGCAGACACACACATCGCCCAGTTGGAGCTTTCGATGGTGCTGTACGCCTTAGTGGAACGACCTGACCTGTTTCGAAATCGACACGGGCTTTGGTTTCTGGACAATGTTGCAGCCGTCATGACGCTAGTGAGAGGACGTTCTAGCAATGCCGACTTAGCCAAGCTAGGTCATTTGATCCATCTAGCTCTGTTTGCACTGCGAGCCCAGGGTTACTGGGAGTACGTCCAGAGCAAGAGCAACTGGGCTGATGACATCAGCCGCCTCGGCGCTGAGGACCCATGGTGGCGATGCCATGGTTTTGACTTTTATTCGTCGTACCTTCCCACTATCTTTTTCCAGCTGCCTTTCGTCGCTGTCATTCTCACCTTTGAATTCCTATAGTGCTTTGGGGATTTGAGTGCGTTGGGTGATACCTGCTGAGCAGGTTCCAGCCTGTGTTGCCAGGCAGCTGACCAGTGGTGACACTGGTCTGAGGCTATGTACATGTCACAACGTGACGACCCAAAGCAAACCTGAGGATTGCAGGTGAAATGTGATTGACATTGGCAGTGCTGTGAAAAAGGAAAGCTGCGGAAGAGCGAGTAGTATCGAGTTTCATATAACACTTTGAGATGTACCCATGCATCGAGTTTGGCAGGCTTGGGTGTGCATGTATCATCTTCAAGTGTTCAATGAATGCTATCATTTTGGCTCAAGTAAACTTGAACCAAAATAGCATTCATTGCGGTTTTCTTTCCCCACCCTCCCAACCCTAAGAGCCGACCTCCCGTGGAGATGTCCGCCTAGGTTAGGGGAGCCTGCACGGCAGGCGAGTCCATAGCCTCTCTCGGGGATCCTCTCTTGGGGCGACCAAGAGAGCCTTCCCTCCCTTAGGTTTAAGGGATGGGTGATACCTGCTGAGCAGGTTCCAGCCTGGGTTGCCAGGCAGCTGACCAGTGGTGACACTGGTCTGAGGCTATGTACATGTCACAACGTGACGACCCAAAGCAAACCTGAGGATTGCAGGTGAAATGTGATTGACATTGGCAGTGCTGTGAAAAAGGAAAGCTGCGGAAGAGCGAGTAGTATCGAGTTTCATATAACACTTTGAGATGTATATATATATATATATTTATATACATATGTATTAAAGTATATTTGACATATATGTATATGATTCACATATATATATATACATACACTGTATACACATAGGTGCCTATATTTTATAGCAATTTTCCATTATTGGGTCTGTCCGTCCACTTTTATGTTTGCTTTGATGGTTGCAGTTATAGGTAAATGAATCCTTACTGGGGGTTTTGCAATATGAATTCCCGAAACATCCTGCTGCGCAGGGCCAGGTATGAGTCGCATTTCGATTTCATTTTGAGCCAAGAGGCTTTAGACCGAGCATGTGGCAAAGTCGACATGCAAAAACACTTTGAAACTCAGCGGGCAGACACGAAGGAAAAAGTGGAGAAACGTAAAGAAAAGTGGGCAAGAAAGTCCCGACCACTACGAGCAAGACGCTTGTTCCAGCAGGAACAGAAGAAGATCTGCAGCTTGGAGCGTGAAAGGCAACATGCTTATTATGCAGCCAGGCAGAGAGCTCAAGGTGAACGTGAGTTTCAGCAGAAGAAAGAAAATGTTCGCATGGCTCACTTATTGAAGGCCATCATGCGAGGATGGAGAGAGAATAGAAACAAATCCAAGGCGAAAAGTGCAGAGGTTTCAGAAACCTCTGCTGATCTTGCAGCTAGCGCGGCGGAGGTAAACAGCATGGACGAGTCTCACCCAGGGACGACCTCGTGAAATGACGAGGTTCGTGCCTTCCTTGGCACCGTGACGGCGAGGATGGGGACCTTCCGTGCCCGCAGCAAAAAATGTGAGGGAAAAAACTTATTCTATACGTTTGCACATGTAAGAATCTTGGCACCATCGTGTCTATACCTGGCATGTATGCTTTCCGTTTGACACCTTCGAAACATGATTAAGACATCGAACGCAGTTGCAGCGGAAGTTAAATTGGTTACATCAGGTTACATCCCTATATTGGATGTCAACGTGAGCTCCCTTCAACTCTTATTTTGGCTGGGGTGGCTTTGTTTTGGGGCCCCACTTGAAAATATGTAGCAACAAATTGAGGTAAACATATTCCCCCACAAGAATGTATTGAACATGATCCATCCAGAAGATGTCTTCGAAGAATATATAGATCATATATGCATATATACATACACATTCCGATTGGGTTTCCGTTTCTACTGCAGGCCATGTGCCGCTGGTGGGCATTGGCGATTCTCTTTTGGCATGTCTCGGGTGAGGCGGCCGCAGGGAGGGATCAAACCTGTTGGGCCTACAGGCCCCGGCTGTTCAGCCCTGAGCCAGGCTCCTCCAGTTGTAGAGCCTTCAGAGCTGGCTTCGCTGCTTGCAAGCTACAATGGCAGAGTCACAGTCAAAAGATCATGAATCACCAGCTGCGAAATTTGGATCCGTTAGGGCGTTTCCTGAAGCAGACCCCCCCCCAAAAAAAAACACCCGCCCAAAGCATTGCATTTTGTTTCACCTGAGGCCCGAACCCTCCACCTTCCTGGCAGCAGCTGCTGACACCAGAGAAGCTGAGGCCATGGTCAAGGGCCATACCAGACCAAGACCAGACCATACCACACACACACACACATGCACACAACTACATACATGATTACAAGAGAAGTATGATCTAATATCTCCCTCTGGGGCGGACATTAACCCAAAGTTTCATTGGGGGTTTAGCTACTTTTGGGTTGGTTTAGGGTTTACTTAGGTTCGTTTGGGGGCTTTTATGGTTGGGCAATTTTGGGTTCTTTTCGGGTTCCGTGTTTCTTTAATAGAATTTTCGCATAAGGCTGGAAACCCTGCAAATTGCGGAGGGTGTGCTTGATATGATTCAGAAGGTGATTTCGGCACAGCCTTATGAAGCGCAAAAATGTAACAAAATGCAGGCAATATAAATAAGATTTTGCCCGTTTGCAGTGGACAAAAAAACCATGCGCCGAAGCAACGCAAAGATTGCAGTCCCGCACAGAATTCCGTCGGTTTCGGGCAAACGTCAGCTCGGAGCCCTCGTATACAAATTGGGATTGAAGCATAGCTGCACCAGGAATTGAGGATGAGTTGCGATTGGGAGTTGACATGACTTGATCCACAGGAAGTTGGATTTGCGCAGCAATAGTTGGAACTTCAACACCTAACACAGGACGATATTTGATACGACTTTCAAGGTACAGCGGAGTACAGGGTGACCCGGGGACCCGGGATGCATCACATAAGCCTTGAAGTGCGATACCCGCAAAACTGTCTGCATGGGCCTTGCAATCCCTTACAGACAGATGAGGAGGCTCACCACCAGCTTCTGCGCCTTTGCCGGCATGTCGTGAAGAGATGGATTCTGCAAATGACACCGTTGGGCAGCTGACATACAATATCTCTGCCGATATTGGTCCTTTCTGGGGCACGTTTGCAGACAAAAGTTTCGCGGCAATCATCCAGCCAAAGTGATGTTGCATCATCTCAGTGCAGAACACTCGCACAAGCTAAATTGCCCCGGTCCTTGGAACAAACCTCACAGTCTGATAAGGAAGTTTTGAACAAAACCCTTGGGACAAGCCAAAACGCCTCCTCCACATACCCCTGGATTCAGATCTGCTGTTCGTTGGTATGCCGGCTGGGGTTTTCACGACGGTTGCTGCCATTTGAATCTGCTTGGTGGGCCTTTCCTCCTGCAAATGTCTGTGCCCTATGCAGCAATGTGGGGCGCCACCCAAAACCAAGCAACTTCAATACAGCAGACGTTGCAGCAATCCTAACACGCTTTGTGGTACAATTTGTGTCTGCTGACAGCAAGTGAGTGCCAACACGTTGCCTCCCACATTGTCTCACGTGCCTCAGATAAACCTTTTGGACCACGTACATCATGTAACTTTGGCTGCTTTTGCCCGGAGCGAACGTGCTGGGCCGGCTGTTGGGGCAAAAAAAAATGTGGTTTATCATCACTTGCTATGGAGGCCGGATCACCATCTCCTCCGACAAGTGACGACGGGGAGGACGAGGCGGTGCCAGCTCTTTTTTTGATCGAAAGCTGGTTCCTGTTCCGCTGCAGGAAGCCCGGTTGAGAGATAAGATCGCACAGGAAGTGGAAGAGAAAATGAAAGAGCAACTCGGCAACCTCAAGTCAAGAATTCCTGTTGTTGCCACCATTTGTTTTTTTGGTTGTTAACGCTGGCTACATGATGCTGTCTAGTCATTTGGAACCCTGTTCTGCTTTGAACACAACAGTGTAGGAACTGTGAATGCAGCCATGTTCCAGGCATGCAGAAAAGAAACATGAAGAAGAGAAAGAAGGTGAGGAAGCAGAGCACCTTGGCTTGAACAAAAATTCATCCTTGGAGGAAAGTTGAGCAGCGAGCTGGCAGCCTCCCAGCTTCCACAGGTCGGACTCTACTTTCCTGATTTTTTTGGTCCTCGGCGTGGCTGCCGTTGCACGGTTTCTGTGCAAGGCAGTTTGGGATCTTCAGGGATCCTCAAGGCTGTCTAGACCCTTGTATTCAAAGTGAATATCTTCTGAAACTTTTTGTTTGTGAGCACGTTTCCTTGAAACTTTTGCGAGAGACCAATGGTTTGCTAAAGATTTCTTACACCAGTACTTTGCTTGGAACCTTGAGAGCAAAATCTTCTACCCTTCGCAGGGGCGGGTTCAGAGGGAGCATTCTGGTTACATGATCATCACAGACACGTCTCCTACAAAAAAGCGGGAGACGGCAGCCAAGTTCTGGGCGTCGAAGATGCTCGGCAGTGGTGGTCGATTGCGGGACATAGCTTCCAGATGCTTCCAGGTTGGTCCGACGCTTTTATTGTGTGGAATCGGTTCAAGGTGAACACCTGCCACTGAGGCGCACTCAAAGTCTTGTGCCGCAGCTGCACATTATGTGCCAGAAGTCCTTGACTCCTTGACCAACATGGCACAATGGATAGTTAGTTTAGCAGTTTAGCACTAAACGTCACTAAACACTACGCACTCACAACAGCATAGTACAATTTTTGTAGGTGCAAAACAAGTGCTCCACTTCTGATCCATAGCTACCCACTTAGTGTGGTAACCTCCAAGGACAGCACCGGCTCCAGTGCCGTGGAGAAGCACAAATCCAATGGAAGTGGAACTGCCACTGGAATGCCAGCCTCTCCATTGCGTCCAGTGCCAGCCTCTCCATTGCGTCCAGGTCACCAATGGGTCGAAATGACCACTTTGATGTCGGATGTCCGAATGTTCTGCCCGATTTCGAGATTTTTATATTCCGAATTTATCTCATATCACTCAGGTTGAAAGATCCGACTGGTCATTCCCTGCTACTTTGATGATCGCCAGAATCGCCAGGTCCAAAGCAAGCTCCTGAGGGCAAGGGTGCGCTTGCATCTCTCCTGACTTTCAAGAAGTAACCAACGTCAGTGGTGGAAGGCCACGTCAAACGACAGTGGCAGCCGCTTGATGTTGGTTTTCAGCATCAAAAATCTGATGGGTCAAAGACTCTGGGAAGTTTGGACTCCGCCTAGCTTTCTGACAGAAAAACGTGCCTCGGTCTGATGCCTGCAGCTTTCGGTGGACTTGTGCAAGTGACAAAGTGTGGAAGTCTAGCACACCCTCGTAATCTCCAGAATTTCTGCACACAGCACCCCCAAACTGGACAAAAGTAAGAAAACTGGAAATCGTGATTAATGAGGTGAAGATCATCCATGACATCCTGGAAAAGCTCTACTTGAGTTTATTTAATTGACTTTAATTGTATCTGTATATGTGCGGGTTCCAGCCCAGTGAATTCAGCCTGCAGGACCTCCTTTTCAACGCGCCCAAGCTGGCTGAGTCCCTGTCGCACCTGGGCTTGCGCCGGAGGGATGGAGCCCAGGAGGTGGCACCGGCGGCGAGGACCACGTGGTGGCGCCAAGCGATTGAGCCATACAGGCAGGAGAGTCTGTGATTTGGCAACTTCTTGTCAGATGGCTGTACACAAAGGTGATATATATATATATCTCTCTCTCTCTGTGTTCATGTGCTGTATATGTAAACACACACACACAGATATATATATATATATAATATAGTGCGCATGATGTTAATGATCAGCATGAAAGGGCTTGGTTATTTGGCCAGTGACTTCAAAGCATTCTTGCTTTGCCAGTCCATGCCAGCTCTTCTTTGTGAAATGATGAACCCCAAGTTGCCCAGTCATTGCTTTCGGATGATATGGGGCCCACCAGGGATTTGTTGTCTTCCGAGATGCCCGATGTGAGGCAAACACTTGGCTTTACCATGGAAGAGGCTGCGGTGATTGACACGCCCATTGCTGGACTAAGAGGCTGGGCATGGCTGGGCATGGCTGGGCATGGCTGGGCATGGCTGGGCATGGCTGGGCATGGCTGCGCCCCGCTGGGCCGCTGGGCCAAACAACCCGTGACATCGCTGTGTTCCAGGTGCACTGGGATACGTTGGAGACTCAATGAGCACCAGGCAATAGGCAGTAGGCAGTTGCGGAGGGGGGAAACCTCGGCTGTTGGAGCTGTGGAAATGATGGAAAATCATACGACAATCCTAGTCCTAGCCTCGGTTGAGCCGCGCTTCCAGTGCGATGCTTCCAAGGATGGGTCGGCAGATTGGCTCCGGTGGGCCAACCTGGCGGAGCAACAGATGTCAAGTCTGCGGAAGGATGTTGAAGGAGGCCAGAATGAGACGGAAGTAAGGAGTCCTAAAGTACACTGATCAGGGTGTAACTCCGGCTTATGGGATGCGCGATTTTGTATATAATTATGCGTTGATGCATATAAATAAACAACAATGTAGTGGACATTTAAACATACCTCTACCTATCCATATGCACATATGTGCACAACAAATTTGAAACACATGTCAGATGTCACCAGATGTCGGTGGCCCAGAGGCCTGGTGCCTGTGGATCCTGTGGATCCTGTGGATGGCCATGATCTTCGTGTGGTCCCCCAAGATGGTCGCGTCTGCAGGTCTCGCGGCAGGTTTCTCAAGACTGATGGCACTGCGGGCACTGCGGGCACTGCATGCTGACTTTGCTGTCCAAGACCTGTGCCGTGGAGCTCGTGCCAGGTTGGATGAGTTGTGAAAGTCTCAGGGTAGCAGCCAGTGGTGGCCAGGGGCGGCCAGGGGTCCTGCCTGGATGGATGTCCCCGCCTTCATGGTGAGGTGCAAGAAGTTCAATACCTCGCTTTCGAGATTTGATGCTGAGCAGTGACCTGGTGTCTAATCCCTTTCTGCTAATATTGAATAATATTGAATAATACCCAACCAGAAATCCAGTACATATTGGATCTGGTCATTTTGGTGGTGCTCTAGAGCTTTTGAGGGAATTTTTAGCAGAGGCTTTGAGTTTTGTGATCACCAGGTACTTCTGGAGTCATTGCTGGCCAAGAAAGGACTGATAGTCCTGGCATGGCATTGCTTGTGGTGAAGTAATATGACGAGGTATCCGGGCATAATCAAAACCAATTGGCATCAGAACTTGTGGATATTTGATGGCCCCACCTGTTGTAACAGCCCGTGTATCTGGCTTGATGTGGGGTTGTCTCAAAATTTTGAACCCCCATTCATATTTATTCAATTTATTCCCTCCCACCGTGATACCTATGGGAAGGACACCGCTGCTGCCGCAAGCAGCTTTGCATTTGACGGACGCTGGAACTACTCGCCCATGGCCTAAGCTTGTGGCAGTTGGTGACAGTTGGTAGCATCTATCTGGTATCTCAATGATATAAATGTAATGCCATCAACGCGCTGGGCTTTCTTCAAAAAAAAACCGCCAAGGTCAGGTTCACTTCAGGTGACTGGTGGCGAATCTTGGCATGCATGGATGCTCGAGGAGTGTTTCCTCAACTAGAAACGGCTGAAAACCGTCACTTCAGCAGCGTCGAAAACCTCCATGAAGAGATTTGACACAAGCATTTGATATCATTTCAATCTCCATTTGGGAGGCCAATCGATTTGGGAGTCAACTTTAAGTAACACCCAGAGGTGACCTAGAGGTCACCCAGACCAGGCCGTCCACTGGCAGAGTGGCCTGGTGACACCGATCAACGCCACCAGCGACCTGGTCTTTGACATGGCCTTGGATGGCGAGGTCTTCCAGGTCTTTCGGACCGAAATGTGCGATTATTGTGGGGAAAAAAGGGTCCAAGGCAGCTTGAAGATTCTATTCTTTATTTTTTTTTAAATGTAAGGATATTGCTGAGAGACTATCCTTTCTGCTTCCTCACTTGATAACTGCACTTGCAGATTGCCATTTGATCCCTTCCACTGCTGTCGGAGGGCCGACTCGAAGATGCTGGCAAGCGACTGGTTTTCAGTGACGGAGATGTCAGCGCCTCAATGGTTATGAGCAGCCGAGCAGTGTTGCGGTTCACCTGCCTGAGGTCTGGACGCGGCAGACTCCCATCCAGGAACATCCGCCCCATGACGCTGGGGCGACGACTTGCCAAAGCACGAGGTGCACCAAACCATGAAACATCGGTGCTAGCTTCCAAACAGTTCGTTCTATATAGTATGATATTATGGCGACAGAGACTGTGGACATGCTGAACATGCATAAAATATGAAGAGTTTGAAGCAATGATCAATGTGTTTTCTCCACTTCAAAGTTGCCTCTTTTATCACTTTACTATTATATTTTACTATCCTGTAGTCAGAACCCACGAGCAAAATGTGCGCAGATTTGCTTGTGGAAACTGCAGGCCGGAGCAGAAGGTTGGGCCCTTGGACAACATGAGAGACTCATCCATCAGGTCACCTCCATGACAGGAGGAAAAAGATGGGTGTGTGGTTAGTACAGGGGTAACTGGAGTATATCCCAATCTATCCCATATATATATATATATTATATGTAATATGTATAGAAATCCCTACCAGATAGGAAAGTAAATCGGATTCTACCAACTTCAATCTTTTGGGGGTTGCTATCAGGCACGGGGGTCGCATTTGCCCCTACCTGATGCGGGGTCGCACTTGCCCCTACTCAAGGTGGAGGCAGGGGCGAACGTGAGTCTAGGCTAGGGGCGAATGTGACCCGACCTCGTTTTGCGTGGCAGGCGCAATAGTTTCAGAGTCTCGAAAGGATCGTTTTCCAGCTGTGACGGTCAGCTACGACGTCCTTTTCAAGTGTTATGTTGTAACATCCATTTCGAGCAACTTCCAAGACGCTGTGGATGCTACGTTGTAACATCCGTTTCAATCAACTGTCAAGACGCTTTGGAATGCTACGTTGTAGCATCCATTTGAAGGCATTTCCAAGACGCTTTGGATGCTACGTTTTAACATCCGCTTCAATCAACTTCCAAGATGCTCTGGATGCTTGGTTGTGACATCCATTTCAATCAACCTCCAAGACGCTCTGGATGCTACGTTGTATCAGCCATGTGAAGCAACTTCCAAGACGCTCTGAATGCTACGTTGTAACATCCATTTCAATCAACTTTCCAAGACGCCATTAGATTTGGCTCAGTTTGCCGTGTTTTAGACGCGTGGAGAGCCTGGGCTTCGGTCGAGTTGAAAAGCTTTCGGGCCAGCTGTCGTGCATGTGTGTTTGCAGTGTTTGCATGGGAGCAGACGATGCTTAAATCGCACTGAATTGTTGCCAGAGGTAGCAAATGTGTTTGGCACCCAGTGTGGTAACTAAGATGTAATGTAATGACAAGTGTAAAAAGGCAACTGAAGCCGTTCCCCCAACCAATGTCCTCAAGTTCTCCCCTAAATGTCCCTTGTCCCCAGATGAAACCCTAAAAGGTTGAATGACTTATTCAGTCGAAAGGCAACAAATCGTGCCCCCGCTAACCAATGTCCCCAAGTCCCCCCTAACCAATGCCCCCAGGTCCCCCCTAAATGCCCCTTGTCCCCAGATCAAACCCTAAAAGGTTGAATGACTTATTCAGTCGAAAGGCAAGTGACCCCGTGCCCCCTAACCAATGTCCCCTCGTCCCCTCTCTAACGAATGTCCCCAAGGCCCCCTAAGGTCAAACGCAACAAGGTTGAAGGACTTATTCAATGGAAAGGATTGTGAGGTAGGGGCGAATGTGACCCTAGTTGGGGTAGGGGCGAATATGGCCCCCTTCCCTTGCTATCAGGTAGTTTTTAGATTTACATCCCAACTACCTTCCGGATCCTTCCGGTAATTTAACAAAGCTATGGAAAACCACCATGTTTATAAGATCATTTGTAAATGGGCAATTATCCATAGCTATGGTCAATTTGTCGGAGGGTATATCAGTATATCCCAAGACATCCCAGTTACAAACGGCACAACCCGGCGTCTAACCAGACAGGTTGAGGTGCCAGAAGCCGAAGTTGAGGAAGACGTAGAGCCCATGGAGCTGGACACCAAGGACCCGATTCAAAAATGGAGGGTTTACCCCGAACAGATGGCAATTTTAATGGTAAAAATCAGGCGCATTGATGATCAATAATTCATGGCACATGTTGAAAAATTGATGGCAGACAGGTTGCTAGGCCAACTTTCGGAAAAACATATCAGAATCATTGTATTTTGGAGGTATCAGTGAATCTCCACCATTCTTCATCCAACTCCTGAGAGGATGTGATGTCCCAGGAGCCACCTGGAGGGTGCCTTGGAAAGCGCCACCCTGTGGTTTTTGCCATGGCTATGTTTGAAAAGTGGGGAACTTTTACGGGATCTCTGCGAAAAAACTAGCAATTTCAATAGGGACAATGATGATGTAGCTAATTTGTGGGCAAACGCATGGATTCTACACATCCTCTGAAAGGTTGAGCCGTCACGGAGTGTCTGCATTGCTGTTTTTTTTGGCATTGGTGCCTTCATGCCGAGGGACCAGATTGTGGCAGCAGTTTCTGAAGTGCTGTTCAAGGCAGCCTTTTGTTGCAGACTGAACTTTGCACCCCGGAATGGGATGATGGTAAGATCTATGGTTTCTGGTGAAGATTTCCCCCATCCAATGATGGCAGGCAGTGGCCAAAGCAGATGTTGAGACGGTGCGACTGGGCCTACAGCAGGTGGGTCTCTTGGGACACGAAGCCGCCCGGGCCCTAGATCAGCTGCCCGCCTGCGACTGCGTTTTGTGTAGCTGCGAGGTGCAAAGTCTGCTATTAATCAGAGATGAGGGCGATAGCCTTTTGCATCTAGCTGCAGCTGGGTCCAGGCAGAGCACTTGATGGGTTACAGATGGTTGCAGTATTTTTTATTTTTTTGGCTTCATTGATGCTCTGAAGGTATTGAGATTGAAGCCATTTTTTCCTCAAGTTTGGAGGCAGTCATCCGATGCTTCATCCTACGTTCAAATCGTATACATCTCAGGGCGGTGAAAGGTCACTAGTGGAGCTTGCTGCTGTCAGAAATGGAGTACTGTAATGCCCACGTATGATGCAGTTTGGCCATTTATTATGTGGGAACACATACGCGCATTTCACAGGTACATGAGTTTGGCCAAAAAATTGGCATACCCCAATTAATGGCCATTTTGATAGGGAAATAATTATGTTTGGGTTTGAGGCAAATACCACATTTTCAGACACCGCTCTAAGGCCAACACGCTCCTGGTCGCTCGGGCAAATGTCAATGATTGCAACCGCAGTGGAGTGCGGGGCCTCAGGACTGGCATTAGAGAAGATTGGAATGGATTTCCATTTGACACTAGATTGATTGAGATTTTAGATAAATAAATCAGATTTAGATTGAGTTAGATCAATGGACAAATATGGTTAAACCGTTAAACCTATAGAACTCCAACATCTCCAAGGTACATCATAGTATCCGGACCTGCCATGTTGGCAACTATTCATTTGCCCCGTGAGGCAACCCCATGGCGCTTGGCTCGAAAGTCCGACCCGGTGATGGAGAAGTTGCTCCTGGCATTTGGCGCTGATCCTGTCGTGGTCCCAGTATCGGGATTGGCATCGACCCATCCAGGACGCATCTATTTGTTTATTTACATATCTATCTAACTAGCTGTGTATATTTACTGTGTATGTACGTAATGCCTGTTACATGTCTCTATCTCTCTCTCTCTCTATTATAGGTATACGGTATACATATGTATCTATTGAAATAATATTATATATTCATGGATGTATCTAATTGTTTACCTATTTATCTACCTATCTGCCTACCATCTACCTAGCTATCTAATCTACTAATCTACCTATCTATCTATCTATCTAGCTAGCTAGCTAGCTATCTACCTACCTACCTATCTTATCTGTCTGTCTGCCTGCCTGCCTGCCTGTCTCTCTATCTGTCTATCTGTCTGTCTGCCTATCTGTCTATCTGTCTATCTGTCTATCTGTCTATCTCTCTATCTGTCTATCTGTCTATCTGTCTATCTCTCTATCTGCCTATCTGTCTATCTCTATCTTTCTATGTCTCTATTTCTCTATCTGTTTATCTATCTATCTATCTATCTAGCTATCTATCTATTGATCTATCTTCTGTATCTATTCTATCTCATGCAATATACATTTATACAATTTTATACATCTATTTATGCAAGTACAATTTTTGCATGCGACCGTTGCTGGCTCTTTCCACTTTGAGCATTGAGGATATCGGAGGTGACAAATCTGAAGTGACTTTGGACTGGCACTCAGGAGGGAAATCACCAATTTTCTACATTTCGGGAGCTGCTGAATAGCATCCTCGAAACCCAAGTCTCAGAATCTCTGGTTCTGCTCGTGATTCAGCACCACAACAGCGGACCAGTCTGCTAGATTCACTTTCACATACCCATATATCTATCCCAAAGTGCGACTGCGAATATAAACTACTACAGCTGGGGGTTAACATTGGTTTGTCATCCTCATAAAGCATAAAAAACAAGGGGGGGCCTGAGAACCCAAAAGCAAAACGACAGCAAACAAATTTGAGTAATCAAAGGAAGTTGGGAAGCAATACTTCCGAGTTACGAATGACTTTTACTTGGTGCAATTGACTATGATGAAGGGTGGTAGATCATGTAACAATACATAATGTACCAATACATCACAAAAGAATAAGAAGCAATGAAATTGACCTTGAGGAAGGGTGGTAGATCATATAACAATACACAATTTAACAATACATAATGTACCAATACATCACAAAAGAATAAGAAGCAATGAAATTGACCTTGAGGAAGGGTGGTAGATCATATAACAATACATAGTATAACAATACATAATGTACCAATACATAACAAAAGAATAAGAAGCTGTGAAATTGACCTTGAGGAAGGGTGGTAGATCATACAACAATACATAATATAACAATACATAATCTAATCAAAGGAAGTTGGGAAGCAATACTTCCGAGTTACGGAAGTGGCGACGAAGGGAAGTGGTGATGAAGGGGAGTGGTGAGGAAGGGAAGTGGTGATGGCGGGAAGTGGCGACGATGGGAAGTGGTGAGGAAGGGAAGTGGTGAGGAAGGGAAGTGGTGACGAAGGGAAGTGGTGATGAAGGTGAGTGGTGAGGAAGGGAAGTGGTGACGATGGGAAGTGGTGAGGAAGGGAAGTGGTGGCGATGGGAAGTGATGAGGAAGGGAAGTGAGAAGCGATGGAATTGCTGACGATGGGAAGTGA